CGTGATATATTTTATTTTCATAAAAAATAGAGATGCATACATCCACGCGAAAATAGAATAGGATGCGAAGTAATTTGTATGGCACACAAGCTGATGGTCCAACTGATGGTAAGTGGCAAACGTCGCCTATTTACATAAACAGCACCATGGACATCATGTTAATATGTGACTCCCATAACATCACTGTTACAAAATAGTTGAAAATATAAAGGCATAATAATAACATTTAATATAGCAACCCATACTAAATGTCATGCCCTCATATTTTCGTAAATGAAAAATCTTATACATTTTTATTATTGGTAGATATATTCTGGAATATTATACCACTTGACACTGACAAGGAAATTAAATAAAAAGAGGCCATCCACAATGAATGAGAGAGATACGTTTCCCAATGAATAGATGTGACTCATTATTTCCAAACACAATCTTTGACAACGCATGAGAACAATGGAGATGGTCCATCGAGACAATTCAAAACAATGAATAATAATTGGCGTCCAGAAGTGATGAAGACAATTGTATTTGTTTGTGTGAATCGCGACCTTTAAACTTCCGCATCGAACCACTAAAATATTATGACACACCTAAAATCAACTTTGGAATATTTGTGGGTGGACTTTAGATTCACATTTACACATTTAGATACAAAGATAATTAAAAAACGATATGTCTAAAATTTTATTTTTCAAAAACACTTTCAGGTTTTAAAGAAATATCTATTAGTAGGATTTGTAAATGATAAAAAAGAAATTATAACTGTCCACCACCCACACATGTAGATATCACTGTCAAACAAGAAAACTACTAGTAGAGAAACATGAGATACAATACAATATATCTCAACGGCAATATATAAACGAAGTCATATCAATATAAACACCTATACTAAACACATATAATAAAAATTACAGACCACTAAATAAGTTAGATAGATAGATAGATAGATAGATAAAAATCTTTATTCGTATCCCGATAACAAAGATAGTACAAACAAAATTCAAATAACACATAAGAATAGTAAATAATTATAAAAAAAAAATACAACACATAATACTTTAACTTCCAAATAAAATAAAAAACATAAAATAAACATTAAAATATATATTAGGTGCCACAGGGATACGAAAGGGTTGAGCTACTCAGTGAACAATTTGCTCAGCGAGCAAAACACTGATTAGCAGCCCAGTGGTGGTGCGATCGCGTGCAGCGACATATTCACTCAACAATCTTAATGTTACCAAAATTTAAATTAAACTAATTCTTAATAAAAATAATAGAAGAAAAAAATAATAAAATAAATAAATCAAAATGTATCAATATCAATATCAATTCAAATACAAATAACTGTTGACGCAGACCATTACCTAAGCGACCAAAGGCTTTCAAAAAATAATAATAATATATAAATGCTAGGAATTGTCTAGTAGAAAAAGATTTATCTTTTTCTTAAATACCTGTTTTGAAGTAATGGCTCTTATAGGTGGAGGGATATTATTCCAGCATTTAGTCGCCTGGTAGCGGAAACTTCCCGTAAAAGCAACAGTTCGGTGAGAATACATTGCTAAAGGAACCCGTGCTGATCTAGGGACGCCGACATAATGACTTTCAAAAGATGAAAATTTTAATTTATTATATAAGTATTCTGGATTTTTAAATGTCATTATATCAAACATCAGTACTGCGAGATGCAACCGCCTCCGTGATTCCATGTTAAGAATTGATGCATTATTTAGAAATGGAGAGACATGAGTACGTGGAGGTATGTCAAAACAGAAGCGGCCACAAGCATTTTGTACGCGTTGCATTATATTCCGAGAATTACATACAAGGCGAGGACCATATACTAGATCACCGTAATTGAACTTAGAGAGAATAAGGGACTCACATAATAATATTCTTACTCTCTCTGTGAGATAATTACGTACTTTATATAATATTTTTAAACGGTAGAAACAGTCTCGGACTACATTTAATACATGACGCTCGAATCGCAACTGGCTATCAAAAATAATACCCAGATTTTTTGCCTCATCAACACGTACAAGATCAGTTCCAAGTATCTTCACGGAGGGACTTCTACTTAGAATGGCTTCTTTCTGGTTTTTTGAGCCAATGACCATGAATTTAGATTTAGATGGGTTAAGGACTAGAGCATTATTAATTGACCAATGAGCAATTCGATCTAGATCTTCATTTAAAGCCTGTACCGCTACGTTAACCTTATCAGGACGTTCAGAAATGTACAGCTGAACGTCATCTGCATAACAATGGTATTGGCAATTCCTTATTACGTTTGATAGATCAGCGCTGTATAAAATAAACAAAAGCGGACCAAGTATTGATCCCTGTGGAACGCCTCTTTTAACTGATCCAGGATCCGACAATAAATGACACCCATCATCCTTTAAGAGTTTAACAATTTGATAACGATTACTTAAATAACTATGAAACCAAAGCACTGTTTGTGACTCAAATCCATAATAAGACATTTTCGAGAGAAGTAAAGGAATATTTAAACTTTCAAATGCACGAGAGAAATCCAGAAGGGTCAGTAATGAGCCTCTTCCTCCATCCTGCTCAATTAATAAATTGTCAGTAACATCCAATAATGCTGTTATAGTACCACGTCCCTTCCGGAAACCCGACTGTAAACTTGGAAGTATGTTGCTCGCCTCAACATATTCAAGTAACTGTTCATTTACGGCTTTTTCTAAGATCTTGGACAAAAACGGTAAAATATTTATAGGTCTGAGATCCTTTAAATCATTTGGTTGGGTAACCTTGGATATGGGTGTAATTAGTGCTATCTTCCATTGATCGGGAACTATGCCTTTTAAAATTGATTCATTAACTATGGCAGTAATAATAGGTAGGGTATGTGGGAGAGTAAACAAAATCATGTCTCGAGTTATACCATCGCTGCCTATACAATTAGACTTAACTGTGTTTATGTACCTAACCACGTCGTTTTCACTTACAGGGCGCAAAATAAATGAATTTGACGTGTACCTAAAATTTTCAAAATATGACAAATTAGATATGGGAACAGAATTAGGACCAGGCACATCTAAAAAGTGGTTATTAATTAAATTAGGGTCCTTAAACTTATTTGATAGGCATTCATTTTTATCTGAATCAGTAATAATTTTCTCTTTTATATTTTTCCAAAATTTTTTACCACTATTAACATTCAAATTAACAAAATGATTGTAATAGGCTCGTTTCTCACTTTCGATACTTTTTGAGACTAATTTCTTCAGTTCTTTGTAATAATTCTTATGCGTTTCAGATCCTGATTTGCGATATTTATTATGAGCTTTATTACGCAGTTGAATCATTAATTTAATCACATCAGTAATCCATGGTAGTGGTGTAGCGTGTTTAAATTTCGTTGTAACCAATGGCGCATGTTGATCAAATAGAGACAACAATAAGAAGTTGAATTTATCTACCATGGAATTAACTGATGACATTTTTGATACTGATTCCCAATTCAGTACTATAAGATCCCTGTTAAATTGATCAATATTTATTTTGTTCATAGGTCTATATGTAACAAAACTTGGCAGTACTTTCGTTTTCTTTAAATTTAAACTAATATTTACCATTGAATGACCCAGGGATCCGGTAATATTGTCCACAGTTACGTCACGAATTTTACAATTAGTACACACAAGATCGATAAGTGTTTCAGAACTCACCGAAGTGTGCGTAGGGTCTTTTACTACCTGTTCCAAATTAAGATACCTCAGAAATTGATCAATTTTCACGAAGCCAATACTAGATTTATCCAGCACATTTACATTGAAATCTCCCAGCAAAACCATGTACTTGAAGTTAGAAAAGTGGGAAACAGATTCAGTTAACGCATCAATGAATGTATCTATTTTCAGCCACTGTGGTCTGTATGCTGTTCCTATGATTATGCGATGACCATTTACTCGTATCGATAGCCACATTTGTTCGACGTTATTTTCGGGATGGTTCAAGAAGCGTACTCGTATATCTCTTTTAAAGTAGAACGCAACACCACCACCTCTACCACCACAAATGTGTCTTGGGCGCGGTTTGTTGCGCAGTCGATAGCCGGGTGCTACTGGCGCACGTGCCTCTTGTCCTTCCGGCAACCACGTTTCATTTATAGCTATTATGTCAGGTTCAAATCGATTCATCGCTATCAGAAAATCATCGTGACCCGTGTTTAGAGATCCAGCATTATAAAGACCTAACTTAAGATATTTTGTTTTAGAATTGAAAGCTAATATAATATAATAAAAATATCAGGCTACATGAATTGATCCCAAGGCTAAATAAAATAATGAATAATATTAGAAAGTACACATTATATAAGTAAACATACATAATCCAAATGTACTGTAGATATAAGACAGTAAATAAATCTATTATGATTAGAGAATCAAAATGTACACTCGATTTGAATTGAAACCCTGGGGCACATAATACACATCTCAAACATTTATGCTCAGAACATATATACATAGAACCACCAAAAACAATTATGAAGCTAAATAAAATATTTAATCTATCAACAATTACTCTAAGAGGATTGGTACTTTTTGTTATAGAGTTTAGATGATAATAAAAATAGTAACTTGGTAATTTAGGTAATATAACATAGAAAAATTCATTAAGGGCAAAAATTAAATCAATGGATTTGATAATTAGACCAAATAAAAGAGTACAAAACTTACTGAAAAAGTACATATACAAAACAGTAAAACATACATATGATTTAGAGGATGTTGACATACAAACAAAATAATAAAGGTTTATCAAAAAGAAAGGTAAAAGAATAAATATTATTGCAAAAAATTCATTAGGTATATAAATTAAAACAATTACTATAATGCTTAGATGAAATCATTTAGAACAAAACTGAAAGAAAAAGTACATACAAAAATATAACTTTAAATATGGTTTATAATCAGTACCATACATAATTACTGGAAAAGAAGCTACATAGATGTTAATAATTATGCTGAGGGACAAACAACATCCTGACCAAAAATCCGTGCAATGTCATCTTCTGTCCTTATGCGAAACCGTGGAGCATCTTTATTTTGGAACTTGCGCACATATATCCTGCCGTCCCTTGTCCACACGTATCTCCAGTTCATCTGGTTGCCCAGATCGCGTGCTCGACGGAACAGCAGTCTATTGTTTTTGGTTAATCTCTCATTAACATAAAACCGCCGGGATGGTTCGGGTATATCCAAGCCCTCAGTAGTGGCACCCCTTCGTACACGCGCAGCTTGCAATAACCGATCTCGAACGATGCGCCGAGACAAACGCACCACTATGGGACGCGGCCTGTGCTCACCTACTTGAGAGGACGATGATACATATCCTACGCGTGTGGCACTTACTACATCTTGATCTGTCAATTGAACTCCCAATTTATTTGCTAGAGTAGTGACAATATGAGGAAGGCTCTCAACTTTCTGTTCCGGAATGCATGCAATCTCTACATCATTTAATAGCAACTCCTGATCTCGGTCGTTCAGTTCCAATCTCAACTCTGTCATAGACGCCTCAAGTGACTTGTTATTGCCCTCCGTTGCACCATTTTCTATACTATGTTCCATACCACTCAGACGCTCCTGGAGCTTATCCATACGCTCTTCACATTTAATGACTCTGCTCGATATTTTAGCCAAAGTTTCATTTAACACCGCCATCTGTGCTCTAGTAGCTCGCATCTCTTCTATCATCTCAGTTCTAAATAGCCGCATTTCTAAGGCCAATGACTGCATGTCTGACATTTCCACAGTTTCATTTTGAGCTGTATCATTATGAATATCCATAATAGATGGTTGCTCCGACATAGAAACATCAAAATGAAGCGGACTCCTCACAGATCCTCCTCGTTGAGTTGTGACTGCTTGAAAAGCAGCACGAGCTGGTGTATTAGTGTTATCGCTCTTGGGCTTCTTACTTACACATAATACACATCTCCAATTTCTCCTATGTTCATCAACTAATGTATTATAAAAACGCTGTTCGGATACATTTGCACAGTCCAGATCATAAAACTGATTGCATCCCTCACACAATAAATATTTTCGGTCCTTAATTGCCCTCAAACAGCCGGCACACTGCATGTTGTATGATAATATTGCTCAAAATATATTACGTGATCATAAAAAAAAAAAAAAAAAATGTTGTGGTCAGGGTTTGATCGCACATCCGTCCACAAATAATTACTGAGAATAACCACTAGGCCAACGTTTCATACAGTCAATTTTTGAAATTAACTACCATATAGCTGCGTAGAACCGGTTAACTGCCACTTTGTTCAATAGTTAATATGATTCACATCCAGTTTACAACTGACCTTTGTACCCATTGAAGACACTCAAACAGTTGCCGTCACTTCTTAGTTACACAATTAAATGTTATTTAAAATGTTTACCGGATTCAAACTGCACTACAAAATGAATATTTAATTGTAGGTTATAATGTCTCGATTAAAGGATCATTCTGATAACTTTAAATTAATAAATCAACGTTTTAAATAATTTTAAAGACAATAGAACCACTAGAACGGGCTAAACGCGTCCGTTGCCGCTGCCGCGTTCGCGTGCACCGTTAGGTATTGTTATCCCTAATTAGATTGTGTAAAATTATCATATGACCTGAAATGAAATTATAGGTAATACCTGGTCCATTATAATAACAATTCCGTATCACGAGAGGAGGGCACTTGAGAGGATAATTACTGTAATTTTAATGCCAACAATACAATAAGGATAAATTCAGATGTATTGGATAGATATACAAGATCGAGTCCTTACGAAGAATAACGGCTATATATGTATATCAAGATATCGAACAACATAATTTTAATATTTAAAGTCATTGTACTATTCAAATACCACACCCTTATCATTAGGATAGTAAGGGTTACTGTGTGCTCTTCTTAAGGCAGCTGGTTGCCTTATCTTTATCTTCTTTACATATAATAAAATCGTGACGAGGCAAACTGTCTGTTTGTTTGATAAGATTTCATGTAAATACGGGTGGAGGATTTAGGATGAAATATGGCTTAACATATAGGGTAAAAAAACTGAGTAATTAATATACTGAGTATTTTTAATATTCCACCTACATTTGTATTAACAAAAATTGGTTGAGTGAGTGTTAGTTATTCTTATAGTTCGATTGCGATGCGATTTACAAATATACAGGCGTACTAAGTCGCAGGCAGCATTAATTATTAATAGGTTCTATTTTTGTTTGTAATTTTTTGTCAGGTATACATACCTAGATTGATTATTAAAGAACAATGTGGGCAATATTTTACTTTAAAATATATTAGAGATCTATGTATTCTAAATCGCAGATCTCGCGCAAGCCGACCTGAGTTGCTAGTATAAGTAAAATCCATTCTAAAATTATCATTGTACAATCTTGCGTTTGGGAATTTGCATAGGGAATAGTTGCATAATGTGTCTTCTTCAATGAGCAGAGGCGAGTTTAACAAGTATTCTTAATGACTATTCATGACGAAATAGTGAATGGATGCTTAATTATAATCGTAGAAACTTATAATTTACAATTATAGACGCTTTCGTCCCTAATTGTCTAATAACTATTTGTGCTGTGCACTACATAATTATATATAAAAAGTCGGCTTGCCTTTGTTTATGTGAGTTGACATATAAATACGTATAAAATAACAAAATTTTATACATATATCGCACATGTTAAAGTTGAAACGATGCAATGAAGTAGATAATTTAGTAGGTAATATTTTAACAGAAATTAAAGTAAATAGTACACTATCAAGTGTACTTAGGATTGATACTCTAATCGTAGTAATGTGATGTTTATGGTTCACTTCGCATCAGGTATTATATTTGCATATTTCCAAAGGCGACGATTACAATCACTACCTACCAGATAGTACACTGACTTATTTCCTAATCTCTTAATTAAAAAATTACTACTATATGTATTTTTAAACCACTTTGTATATCATAATACTTTTCTATTAATAATATATTTAATTTATAATGTGAAAATTTGCAAAGATATTTGGACTTTGTCAGACACATAAACAGTTAAAACAATGGACCACAACCTAAGTACTAAAAGACACAGATAGATCCGGATATGATTAACATTATGAATATACGATATTGAAATAAATCTAAAACCCTGAAAACAATATATTTCATGAATTATATTATTATTTCATAGAATTAATCAAATATCACGTATGTTCCGAATTTATCGACAACAGCTTTCGTGAAGGCTTAACACGATCATGTTTTATTATCTCCGAGATTCGATGCTTACCCAATCCCATTCCGAGTGGATTTATACAGTAATCTTATCCTACTGACATTGTCATTATCATAATCTTACGATTTCCCATCGCTAGTGCTTTGGAAGTATATTATATTTGAATAATGTAATATATTCTTATTATTTATATGTAAGAGTGAAAGTGTCTGATTATCACTGAGGTATATTTTGTGAATTAAATTAAAATAAAATAGATAACAAAACAGATATATACGAGTAAGTTATAGAAGTTAAAACGTATAGATACCAGAAGTCGAAGAATGACCAGGTTGATCTAACAGAATAAAATGAACCATATAAACACAACAGCTGCATATGAAATTACATGAGGTATTTTTATTCGTTCAGTCTGTACACCCTCAAAAGCAAAGATAAGAAAAACTTTATCGCCCGTCACTTTTCAGAATCTATAAGATGCCTAATAATTTACTAGAATTAAACAATATTACGAACTATCCTAACGTCAAGTTACGATAGTTATCTTAGATTACTTTATAATTAGATTAGTTATGATAGATAGGAAAACGAATAGAGTTCCATAGGTCTCTGTCACATACCTGTTTCTTTCATGCTGTTACATTACTTGCATCACAGGGAGACTCTTAATTTCTGTTTTAGTACTAAAATCCGAAAAGAAATTCTAGACTTTCTCTAAAGTGCGGTATTGTATAAAATTTAAACATTCTTCCTTATTCTATTATTAAAATACTAAGTTTGAATTTATTAGTTTCATGCACGTCCAGTATGCGGTTATAGATATCAAATATTCATTAGTGTTAATCAACAACATCCACTACCTACAAGTAATTTCCTATTTAATAATCTGATATCTATATTTTGCAATGTACTAATGAAATTTACACCGCGTTCATTTACCTTTCACTGCCATCGTTATAACGTCCTCAATTAAAGTTTATTTCTTAATTATACAACGATTAACTTTTTTGGGATACATCTTTATAATATATCAGGAGGAAACATTCTCATAATAATGGAAAATAGTGGCTCCACTGCCAAAACTGTATCATGTAAAGTAGTCTCAGTTGCCCCTGAAAACTTTGTAATGGTCAGCTAATTAGACCTGACTTTATTCTCATCCTATTATCTTTTTTATTAAGATGGCCTCGGTGGTCTAGTGGTTTAATACACTGCCTTACTTCCGATGGTCGCGGGTTCGATTCCTCGTACGGCACAAATATTCATGAGTACGATTGCTTGTGTCGGTCTGGGTGTTTACTATGTAATGTATGTATTTAGAAAAAAATATCGATGTATTTGTATCAGTTATCTAGTACTCATAACACAAGCTTTAGCTAGCTTAACTAGCTAGGTCTAGATGGCGCTGTGTGAATTATCCTGAAATTATAATTATTATATTAAGTATATTATTATTCTTATTATATATTATATTCCACTGGTACAAACGCTGACATCATTACATTATAAGTTCTAAAAAAAATATTTTTATACATAACCCTAACTAATGAAACACCTAAACAATCCTTCTAAATAATCTCAACTAAATCTCTTAAGTATTCATTTTCCCGTTCCTTCCATTAAAGTCACACATACGTTTGTTTAAATCGTAAGTAGATAATCTCTAGTGATGGAGGCACCTAATGCTTTCAATTAACCGTAACAGTCAAATCCTTCAGGCATCCGATACCCCGAATAGTAATTTCATACTTAAACCAACAAATATGTTACTTGTAGATAGAAGGGACACGCGTAATTTGGGGAATTCTCTAAAGGTCTATATTTTAATGAAACGAGGGAGTTCAGTCTGATCTTTAGTTGGCAATTGGTTGAAGTTTCGACTCACGGTAATTTTGGAGACTTATTTATAACTTATAATAGTTTGATTTCCTTAACTACAGTAAGTTATTTAACCGGAATGGCAAACAAAAGCTGGTAGCATTCTCGATGGTAAGTGGCAAGTTTGTTAATCGATATATTAATACGTGAAGCAAAAAGTTTGTATCCTTTTTACGAAAATTGCGCAGCCGGAGGATTATGAAATTTCTCACACTTGTATATATAATAGGGGTGTGCAGATGCAATTTTTTTTTAAATGGCATAAAAAAAATTAAATCATTTAAAAACATTACCCACAACAACTTTTTATTTGATATACATACGAATATATGTTTTTTTATATATTGTTGTTGGTTCAAATAAAAAAGATCTTTTTGTACTTTTTATTATGGGCTAATTTCGACCACTAGGCGACCACTGGTATACATAAATATCATCACGGATATCACGTCATCATGTGACGCCTGCGCTATCCGGAGAGATCGGTTGATTGCGCTGAACGGTGTGGTCGGGGTCGTCGTCTTCACCGCCACCTGATGGTAAGTGGCTATCGTCGCCTATATACACAAACAGCGATCATATAATCATCACGATATAATTCCGGTGGACTAAACTGTTAGGCCTCCGTAATATTTAATCTTCAACCGAAACACAGAAGGCAAGCTAAAATTGGTGTAACAGACGTACCCACATATGGCTTTGTACTTCCGTAGATGGTCACAGTAGGTCAGTTCTACCACTATTATGAGCGAAATGTTAATAGATAGTATTATTAAATTTTTGTTTTACGTGTTGAAAATCAAATTCGCAGTTCATTTGAAGATACCTCAATAAAAACTAAACTTACAGAAGTTCATCTCAAAACAGTCGTATCTTCATATTTTCTATAATTACTAGCGTTAAGAGAAAATCCTTTACCTGAAACAATAACAAAAACATATAAATAATACCTACTACTAAGTAAGTATGAGGGTAACCTGCTATAATGCAAGA